GGTCCCAAGGAGCAGGGGGACAGCCTGGCCCCCCCCCGCTGCCCCAGCCCCTGTGCCTGCAGCTTGGACGACTACAGCGAGGAGCTCAACGTGTTCTGCAGCCCCAGCAACCTGAGCCACCTGCCCCACGACCTGCCCCCCAACGCCAAGGCCCTCTGGCTGGACGGCAATAACTTCACCCTGCTGCCTGGGGCTGCCTTCAGGAACCTCTCAGCCCTGGATTTCCTGGACCTGCAGGGCAGCCAGCTGGCCGTGGTGGAGCAACACGCCTTCCACGGGCTGAGGAGCCTCTACCACCTCCACCTGGAACGCAACCGCCTCAAGCACTTGGCTCCCCACACCTTCCTGCACACCCAGAACCTCGTGTCCCTCAGCCTCAACAACAACTGCTTCAGCAAGGTGGAAGAAGGGCTCTTCGCTGGGCTCTCCAACCTCTGGTACCTGAACCTGGGCTGGAACTCGCTGGTGGTCCTGCCCGACAGGGTCTTCCACGACTTGCCCAACTTGAGGGAGCTGATCTTGGCTGGCAACAAGCTGCCCTACCTCCAGCACCAGCTCTTCTGCAGCCTCACCGAGCTGAAGGAGCTGGACCTGAGCGGGAACGCCCTCAAGGGCATCAAGGTCAACGTCTTCGTCAAGCTGCAGAAGCTGCAGAAGCTCTACCTGAACCACAACCAGCTCAACGCCATCGCGCCCCGCGCCTTCCTGGGCATGAAGTCCCTCCGCTGGCTGGACCTGTCCCACAACCGCCTGGCCTCGCTCTTTGATGACACCTTCCTGGGCCTGCCCAGCCTGCACGTCCTCCGCCTCTCCACCAACTCCATCACCAGCCTGAGGCCCAGGACTTTCAAGGACCTCCAGTTCCTGGAGGAGCTGCAGCTGGGGCACAACAGGATCCGGAGCCTGGCAGAAAGGACCTTCGAGGGGCTGGGCCAGCTGGAGGTCCTCAGCCTCAACAACAACCAGCTGCAAGACATCAGGGTGGGGGCCTTCCTGGGGCTGGACAACGTGGCCGTGATGCACTTGTCAGCCAATTGCATCAAGGTCCTGCCCAATTATGTCTTCAAGGGGGTCTCCAAGCTGCACAGCCTCCACCTGGAGCACAGCTGCCTGGGCAGGGTCCGGGCAAACACCTTCTCCGGCCTGTCCAGCCTGAGGAGGCTCTTCCTGCAGCACAACATCATCTCCTTCATCGAGGACCAGAGCTTCAGCGACCTGCACGAGCTCCTGGAGCTCGACCTGAAGCACAACAGGCTGAGCCACCTCTCAACCCAGCTCTTTGCGGGCCTCAGCAACCTGGAGTACCTCTTCCTCTCCTCCAACCAGCTCCTGGAGATCTCCCAGGACACCTTCAGCCCGCTCAAGAGACTCTTCTGGCTCGACCTCTCCCATAACCAGCTGGAGACGCTGGACACCGCTGTCATCTCCCCCCTGGCCAACCTGAGGTACCTCAGCCTGAGGAACAACTCTCTGGAGACCTTCTCGGTGGGCTTCCTGTGCCCTCCCGTGGCCCTGGAGCAGCTGTGGCTGGGGGGCAACAACTGGCACTGCAACTGTTCCCTGAAGGGCCTGAGGGACTTCTCCCTGCAGCACCCCGGGGTGGTCCCGCGCTTCGTGCAGTCGGTGGCCGAGGGGGACGACACCCACGTCCCCATCTACACCTACAACAACCTCACCTGCCTCCACCCCCCGGCCGTGGCAGGCCTGGACCTCCGTGACACCACTGAGGACAGCTTTGCCCACTGCTGAGCTGCACTGGCCCTTCCTGGAGGACACGCTGGTTCCTGGCCGTGGCCACTGGTCTGTCACCTCCCCGGCCACACGCCTTGGGCTCCCCGGGGGCAGCAGCAGGAGCTCCAGCTCTGTGTCACCACCACCACCACCTCCAGCTGCCCACCTCGGTGCTGCCACAGCAGGGAGAGCTGTGCCTGGGCCAGGCTGGCTGGGCACCAGGTCCCCAGGCTTCAAAATTCAAGATTTCAGGACTTTGATATTGCAACAGCAGCTCCTGGAGCAACCACCCCCACCAGGAACATCACCCTGGGACGGGTTGCCCAGGGAAGCTGTGGCTGCCCCATCCCTGGCAGTGTTGAAGGGCAGGTTGGATGGGGCTTGGAGCAGCCTGGGCTGGTGGGAGGTGTCCCTGTCCCATCTAGTTGGGACTAGATGATCTTGAAGGTCCTTCCAACCCAAATCAGTCTGGGATTCCATGATCTCCGAGCCTCCAGGATGGGGGGGAAAAGCTGCACCCCCAGCCCAGAGCCCACCCCCCAGCCAGGTCCAGGACTCAGCACTGGAACAAACCCAAAGCATTTTCCAGCTGAGAAACCCTAAAAGCCCCCCTGGCAGGAGTGGGGAAGGAGGTTCCAGCCCGTGGAGTCCCTCCTGTCCCAGCAGGTGTGGGCAGGGAGAGGCACACGTCACTTTCCTGATAAATCCCAGCAGACAAATAAACCTTTGGAGCTATTGCAACCCACCTTGTAAGTATGTTTTTTCCAAAGCACGTGCTGCCCCAGCTGGGGGGTCTTCTGGGAGCCCCCAGGGGCTAGCAGGAGGTGCAGGCTCCTTCAGGGTGCTGCTGGAGGAACCTACAGCACCTATTCTGCAAGGCCCAGGCGGGTGGCACGTGCCCAAGGAGGGTTCCTGGTCATCCTGCAGAAGAAGCCCAACAGGTCAGATTCCAGCCCTGTTCTCCAAATCCCAGGTCAATGATCAAAGGTCAAAGCAAGTTTTCCAGGAAAGCTGCAGATGGGGAAACCTGGTCAGGTGGGAGTCCTCACTGTCCTCCTGCTCTCCCATCCAGTGACCAGTTGAATTCCAGTTGGGGCAGTGGAAATGGGAGAGTCCCAACCCTGGTCTCCTCCAAACAAGAGCTGCCAGGGAGGGTCCTGAGCATGGAGAAGGCAGGAGGGGCACAGAGTCCAGCAGGGAAGAAGATAAGCTTTAGGACATCACCTCTGTTTGCTTCCCCAGCCCAGCTTAACTCAAGGCTGCCAGGAGAGCAGGTCCCATGGGAGCAGCAGCTCTGGGTCCAAGGGAACAGGAGACACAGCAGGAAACATCTGGGGACATGGAGAAGAACCACGTGTGGAGAAGGGCCTTGGCAAAGCCTCCTGTCAGGCCTGGCTTTCAGCAGGATGAGGGGACTGGCTGGATCTTGAGAAGCTGGAGGAAAGATTGAGCTGATTCCCAGAGAGGAAATGGAGGAAAAAGCAGGAATTCCCTAGAGGCAGGTGCAGTGCTGACCATGCCAAGCCTTCCAGCCCCAAGGAGGCCTGAAGCCCTGGAAAAACATCTCACAGACTTGGATTTTAAGAAATATTTACTGCCTGGGACCTTTAAAAAAAGAAAGAGTTTCCTGAGTGATGGCAACTCCCAGCAGAGCAAGAGGCCTGGTGCCTCCAGCACCTCAGAGGGGTGCTTGGTCTCCTCAAGTCATCTTCTGACATCCAGCACGTGCCAGGTCCTCATCAGCCCATCAGGAACCAGTGATCCCAGAGGCTGGTGCGAGGTGGCCTGGCCTGGGTGGGCAGGGGAACACCCAGCCCCACCTCCCTGAGCCCAGCCAAATCCATCAGGCAAGGGAAGCAGGAGAAGGCAGCAGCACATGGAGCCCCCCAGCCAGATGATCCAGGGTCTCCTCAGATGCAGAGGGACAGAGCAGCACTTCCCTTCTGGATCACTGTGAACGTTCCCCCCTCCCTCCATCACCCCCCTGGGACAGTTTCCAAGCTCAAAAGCTTCTCCATCCCCCTTCCCTCTTGGCTGCCAGGCCAGAGGCTCCAAGAGTCCAGCTCCATCCTCTCCTCAGGAGCTCTGTTGCCTCATCCCATCCAAGATCTGCTGGGTGATGTGAGCCAAGGCAGGGAAGGCCGGGCTCTTGGGAAACTCCTGGATGAAATCCTTGCCCTCTTCCAAGCTCTGGCTGAGTTGGGGGTCCAGGGGAACACAGCCTGGGGGAGAGGAGGAACAGGGAGTCACTGCTTGCTCCTTGCAAGGCCTGGAGTTGGGATAGCAAAGAAATATCCTGGCAGGGTCATTTCTGTAGGGGAGCAGCACTGAAGAGGGTGACCACTGCCCTCAGAGCTCTCCAGAAGCCACATCCCACCAGCAACCACTCCCTCTAGGTCCAGGACCACAACACAGTGTTTCATGAGGGACACCCTTCAGCCCTGCCCCACCCTGTCTGGAGAACAAGTTTTGCCCCACTTCTCAGGGACACTTCCAGGGCATTCCAGGATGGCTCTTGGGTCACTTCATGCTTCCTCAAGTTGTCCTCATGATGCCACCACCACTGTCAATACCCCAGCAGGGCCAGATGCCTGCTTGGAGCAGCTTGGGATGGCAGAGAAGCAAAGCAAGGACCACATCTCAGCACCAAGCAGGTGCCAGGGGCTCAGAGGGACCAGAGCCCAGCCTGCCTGTCCCTGTGACACTGTGTCCCCTCCCCAGCACCACCTCCAACCCCACGGATCTCTGCTCAAGAAGTCACTCACCCAGGAAGGGGACCCCAGAGTGCTTGGCCAGCTCCTCACCTCCCCCTTTGGAGAAGATATTTGTGCACTCCTGAGGGTGGAAGAACAGGGTGTTTAGTCAGAAGCCCCAGAGCAGGATCAGCTCCCTCCTCCTGCCAAGCCCCAGGACACTGCCCTGCCCTTCTCCTGCTCTTCAGGTCTCCTTTCAAAGCCAACACACAGCAGCTTCTGGTCCCCCTGGCTCACAGCATCAGAGTGCTCAGGGTTGGGAGGGACCTCTGGAGATCACCCAGTCCAGCCCCTGCCAGAGCAGGGTCACCTCCAGCAGATCCCACAGGAACAATGTCCAGCTGGGTTTGGAATGTCTGCAGAGGAGCCTCCCCAGCCTCCCTGGGCAGCCTGTCCCAGGGCTCTGCCACCCTCAAAAGTGAGGAAGTTCCTCATGTTTGGATGGAACCTCGTGGCATTTGCCAGTTTCCCACCCCAGGCCCCAGATCCCCCAACACCCCCTCCCCAAGGAGAACCCACAGGGAACTCACAGAGCAGTGTGGGCAGACAAAGCCACTCATGTTCTCCACGATGCCCAGCACCTGCAGCCCTGTCTTCTTACAAAAGGTCAGCTCCCTCCTCACATCTCCCACTGCCACGGCCTGTGGGGGGAGCAGGGGAGCTCAGGGCTGTCTGTCTGTCTGTCCATCC